ATGTTTGTGTGTGTGACTATGCATATGCTTTGAGTAGGTTTGCAGGCCAATGCTGGCTAGTGTGAAAGTATATATGGGCATTTATAGACTTATAGGGTATTAGGGTGAATTTGTGCGTGGGGGGGTGGGATTATGCAGATGTTGGTGTGTCAGTGATTGGGGATATATTATATTGATGTCCTTGATTGTTTTTGAAATATACTTTGCAATAAATAAACGATTCCGCTATAAATACCTCAGGTTTAGAAATGGCACATAATTCTCTGTCCCAGCTTACACCCACACCCTGTCATTGGTTCCTGCCACCCGCAGATGACAAGACTCGCTGCTGTGACACCGGTCGCTCGGCGAGCGGGAACGTCCGCGGATATCCAGCGATAGAGATATGATGTTTGCCGCGCCAAACACCGAGAACAGTTCCCTGCTGACCGGGGCGACGGAAGCGGGGAGATTGTGAATTATTGGAAGTCCGGCCCACAAATAGAGAAGTGTGGCGGCTGCGTGGTTGGTGCACAAAGGCTATCGACCAGGCCGATGTGCTGCTCCCGGTGGTGTTGCTGGGTACAGCCATGCTGTCCCCCATCCGCACAGCAGAAAGGCCTCAATCAATGCGGGGGGGGGGGGTTGTACGGTCTATTTAAAGCTGCACAAGGGCACTGAAAAGTGATGGTATTTCAATGTGCCGTTGGTAACACAGAACCAAAAGCAGTAACAGGTACATCCAATGCATTTAGCATTTTGAGAGGCTGTCAACCGGCTCTCAGATCAAAGGCGCCCTAACTAATCGAACATCAGTTATGTACAGAAAGTACAACCTTTAGTTTTGGTACTTTCCGACTCAAGTGTCATTTTTACCCGGACAGAATAAGGTTGTTTATCTCAGGGCAACCCAGCCATGCTCTTGGAAATCCCAGTCGTAGGCTGACCCCCACATCTGGTACCGCAGCGGATGGGGGCCATTTCCATGGCGATAATATGGTGCTATTGAGTTTGGGGAGGGCCAGAGGCGGGGCCTGATGATTGGAGTCACAGCTGGCCGCGGCCAGTGTGTGCAGTCACTTCCCGTCAAGGCTCTTCGTTGGCCGTCGTCTTGGTGCATGCAGGATGACGTCTGTCAAGATCAAAGCCACCCACAACATGCAGTTGAGCATCTGATTCACGGTGCCTTGCATCGTCTTTTGAATGCCGGCCCGGGTCACCATGCCACCTTCCCCCTCAGCATAGAGGTATAACCTCCTGTTATAAAAACACACCAATGATGGGAATTAATGCAACTAAAAGGCATTGCTAGGGTTTAATTGACATTTCCCAGTATCCTCTGCCTCCTGCCCCAACCAATCACAGCTTTGCCGAGCAGGTGAGAATTGGGCAACATTAGGTGAAGCACAGAATGCCCCATATCTCTTTTTGAACACAACCTTATCAGAGCACCATCAGCCTACATCCAGGGACCTGAACTGGGCATCTCGGCCCTAACAACTCTGTTACCTCCTGCCCCGTGGTCACCTTTTAAGCCACGGAAACCATGGCGACTGAGATAAGCAAGGAGGGAGCCTCTCTCGTACTTGCTGATGAATCCCTCTGACTTTCAGCAGAGCCCTGAGCACGAAGCAGTGCTTCTGTATGTGAGGAGTAGGTGGAATGAGGGGGGGGGGGTCTGTTATGTCAGACCTGCTGGTGAATCCTCTGGGGAACTCTGTGGGGCCACAAGTAGCATGGAGAAAGTGTTTTCAAACAGATTCCAGCTGAATATAGGCAGCCATCAGGACGCACGTAGAGTCAATATGCGAGGGCTTGTAATTATTTTAATTATTGATCTCACCAGCTCCCCTGGGCACTGCTGGCATCCAAGGAACTTCATTAATTAAATAAAACAAAAAATGCATTGAAAAAAAAAAGAAGCAACACAAAATAAGGAGTAATTTAGCAGCACTGGGTAAATAATGCCGATAATGAGTCTATCTGCTTCCTCCTCCTGACACGGCGGCTCACGGAGCTACATTACGAGACCGGACCCTCGCAAGGGCTGAACTGTGGACGGAACAAGCTTTAATTATCCAGTTATCCAGCACTTTCAGGGACAGCTGGCAATTATCAGCCGAGGCAGAAGTAAATAACACGATTGCGTTCCTGTTACCGATTCTGCCCCGAAAGTGAGACAAACAGAAGAATCTAGACCAGAAGTTGCGCTTGGATGCAAGAAGGATGCGTATGTGGACAACAGTCAGAAGCTGGGCTGCTACACTCTCAGAAATAAGGGTAAAAATTTATACCTTTGCTTGTCACTGGGGCTGTACCCTCAAAGCTCTGCCAATTGTACCCTTGGCTGTAGGTAATTGTACCATTTAAGGTACAGAAATAGAATCTGAGGAACATTTCTGTACTATTGATGGTACATTTATGGTGTTTGTACCTTTGGGACGTTCCTCAGAGTCCATTTCTGTACCATAAAAGGTACAGATATAAGGGTACATCCCCAGTGACATGCAAAGGTACAAATTTTTACCCTTTTTTCGGTTCCCCTCTGAGGCGGAGCTCTGGATTCTGTTGAACGGACATGGAAATGCTAGAGTAGTTACGCTCTTCTGTATCTCCCTAAATGCTCCCCGTTGCCTGTTCCGTTCTCGAATTGCATTTCCAATTCCACCTTGCATCCGAAGGAGTGCCAACGTCAGGATGAATGCTGTGCACTTAACGGCCCGCTGAGCCACCGCGATCCAGGCAAAGAAGGCCGAGGAGGATCTAAGGGCTGGGCTCACTGGGGAGGGGCGGGGGGGAATTACAGCAACCGACTGTAAGATGATAGCGTCCGTGAGACCCCTGCAGTGACCCCAAGTTGCTGCCCGGCAGACATCTCTCAGGCGGTTAACAACAAACAGCTCCACTCCGTCAGAGAGAGAGAGGGATATTTTGCTGGGGATCGATACCAAGAATCGCCATAATAGAATTACTTGGACATAAAGCAACAAAGCATTTTATATGTATTTACTAGCTCTTGATACCCCAGGGTCGCCTGTAGACCTCACTGTAATGTACGGCACTGGCAGAAGAGGGAGAGCTTATAATAAGAAAAATAAGACTGCTGTCTCCTAATTTCTATTTAGCTTCACCGTTTTGGACTTTTGTGGTTCACACTGCATGGTCTCGCCCCGCTAAACTGACACCTTCAAGCTAAGGAAAAGCTAGAAATCAATCCAGTGATGAACCTGTGCTGGCTTGAGAGCGACTGGTGTGGACGGAAGGTTTTCAGGGCTGGGAGATAAAACCAGGTGGCCTTGATTTGCAGCCCTTTCCTTGACATCGGTGTTATAGGCGAACCAGGCTGGTGTGGGTTCAAAGCCGCTTCAGCTGTCAGTTACTTTTGCTTGGAAAGAAGTTCCTTTTCTTGACAAGAGCTTGCTCTGCCCAGACTTAAAGGTTATCGTCAAGGGATTAAGTGCCAACCGGGGGTGGAGACTGTACGTTCGCTGTTGTGGACAGCACAGCCCTTCCAAGGTCCGTCTGAAGCCTTTGACGTTGTTGGGAACTGGGACATTACCAGTGAGTGAACGGCTCCATGAGATCTGTGCTGGTTCGCCATATGAGCTCTTATTGATAAGCTCTGACCACCATTTGCCTGTGGAACGACCTCAGCGACCCACATCTAATTTTCCCAAGCCGGTACTTTGCTGCTCTATAACATACAAACAGGTCATTAATTGTTTTTCCTGTACAAGTAATGTGATTTAAAATAACAAATACTAAATAAAGGCACTGTTATGTTGACCTTTTTGATCCTGGTCAGTGTGAGTTTTCGATAATTGCACCATCCATCCATCCATCCATCCATCCATTTACCATAAATCCCATTATCTACTATAGGGTCACTGAGGTAAACATACTGTATTTTAAATTATCCTTACAACACAAAATCAGTAGGCGTGTTGTGCTCGGTGTTGAACTCATTCATTATAAAACTGACAAACAGTAGTTTTAGCGATTTTAAAATGTTAAGAAAAAATGCGAATATATACCTTTTAAAACAAGAAATACCCTCGGAAGGACCCATGCACGGACTTTGTGAGGCGCTAGTTATTAGCGTTCTTCTTTGAACCTGTGGTTAATAAGCCTTGCGGTCCTTCAAAGGTATCCTGCTCATTATCATTAGGACTGTTTAAAGCAGCCGGTTTCCTACCAGGTGACGTACACGACGCGCAATCATAATTATGTAGACCGGGGGTTTCAACCGGGTGTCGTCAAGCCTGGTGGTCTGTAAATACTTAGAATAGGCTCTGCAGAAATGCATAGTGATTCAGACAGAACGGTACGATCCAATCGGCAGTTTAATTCGGCTATGAAACCCGCTTTCGTAAGAAGCCACGCTGTACCGGGTTACGTACGGTTATATTAATGGAGGGGGCAGCAGGTGGTTTAGTCTTAGAAACATTTGGTTTTTAGTGTTAAAAAAAAAGAGAAAAAGAAACCCATACGGTTGTGTTAATGTGGTTCATCCACTGTTTTCTGTAATACAGTGAATCGAATATTTAATCACAGAGACGAACGACTAAGATGCTCTTAGAAAATACCTATTAATACGGTACTTTAAGTAACTGGCAATGCTATTGAATGGAACGAAGCAGTCTCATACCCTGTAAGGTTTTCGTTAAAAAAGTAAAAATAATAATTAAAAAAAAAACTTCTGGCCTCTAAATTCACCTTGTAAATAAACGTCTAAAATTCAATGCGTCAGGCAAAACTCGTGCATGACAGAGACAGCGAAGTGTTTCACCCATTTTACATAACTCCATCTTTTACTGGGGAATTTCTCTTTGATTAACATATCCCCTTAATGTTGGTGCTTTCAGGTTCTCAGCTTGACAGATGAAAACGTGTCTCTGCCCCCCCGATACGCTGTTATTTATACCGACGCTAACATTAAACTGCCCATAACAAGAACTAAATGTATCGCATATACGGGATACGGCGATGTTCTCCAGAACGGTCTGTATAGCGCACCTCATAACTGGAGAAACCAAAAAAGGGGAGGCACAAGCCTGTGATGTGAAATGTGCGTTTGGTTGAAATGTTCATGTTTTTTTTCACTTAGAAACGCGTGATGAACTATTCGGCTTGTCATCCCCGTAATGTGGAGGGAGACGGTAAAGTAGGAGGCGCGCCCGCTCCGAGCTGCGTGGGTGTCCGAGCTTTCTGGCTTACGGTCGGAAAAAAGTGCGAAGTGGTGTGAGAGCAATTGGGAAAACAAGAAAACCAAAGGAAAGGGGAGATGAGAGCAGCCCGGTTCATGTACCCCGCAAAGGATCACCGCCTCCCCGCCTAAAACGGGCTACGGCAGCATTACGCGCGTCGTGCGAGTGTTTTGCTGGATTATTCAACTAATTCGCAAAGACATCACATGTCTGCGTAAAAATGATGGACACCAAATATCTGTTGATATGTTGCTGCATCCCGGCAGTGCAAGGACCGCTTTAATTTCAAAGGAGCACAGAGGATATTTTCGTTTCACAGCTGAACAACATATCGGAAAAAACTGGAAGAATATCGATTGTCAGGCAAATCCCTAAATTGGATAGCAAGCACACTGGCGCATCTCGAAACGGATTTGCACGGAAATTTAACGACTGTCATAAAATGAGAATATTTGACAAGCGATTGCCTGTATATCTCTAATTTCTATCATAATTCTTATCATGGCTTGGCTCCTAACAAAACAGACAATACTGAAGCTTGGGCGCCCATATCTTGCCTTTGAGGAGCGTACTTTGCAGCAACTTGAATACTCACACGGTGATCCACACAAGAGACTGTATTTAACAGACAAGACGCCGCAAAAGTAGCCTAAATTAGAAGAAAATAATGCAAATGCAGAGCTGTTTTAAGTGCTTTGAAACTGATCTTTTGAAGTGGTGACGGTCCGCTATTTTACGTGTTTTAACCATGTATAACTGTTTTTTCACTCTTCTCACCTGGATGAAATTTCTTTGGATTTCCTGACTTATTTTTGATTGGATATCATTTTATTATTGCTTGAAAACAATAAATCCAACCAACCGCATCTTCTCTTTCTACGTATCACGACGTAAAGATCTTTGATGTCAGGCAAGGTAAGGGTTATCTCTGTACCTGTAGGATAAAAGTTTGAAATTGGGTTTATACTTAAATATTTAACAACGATGTATATTTACTGTCTGTTTCGTGAGTACGTCCCACAGGTGCGATTTAAAGCTTTTACTTTCCAGAATTAGGTTACAAAAATTCTCTGCCATGTAGATGGGAAGCTGACGCGATATTGCCTACAACTAAATCATATTGCGCTTAATTACTTCTTTGACATTAAGATTCAAGTTGCGATTATGTTAGGTTGTGTTAAGAGAACGACGCATCCCCATATCAATATGGCTATGTTTTTAATCATATGGATGTTAAATGTCATCTTACACAAAACGCAGAAGTGTGAATCATTCCTATACAAAAATAGCGGATCTCTGCATTTTGAAAATGGATTCTAAAGTGTCTGTATCATTCGCCGCGTTGATTTACGGAAATAGTGTCTCCAGTTTAACGTTCTTGAGGAGTCAACAGTTGGAGGTTGAGCATCGTGCACCTGATGTCCACTTTGAATGGCACTAAGGGTTAGACGCATTAATTTTAGGCTACACCGAATCTGTTTGTCGTCTGATACTTGCTTTCTTATAATGGGGATTTTACTGCTTTTTCTCATTTCTGATTACTTATCGATTCAGGCTCCTTGTCGTTAGACAACTACTCGCTTCTTAAATGTTAGACAAATATAATTAATGAATGTTGGTGTCCGTACGAAAAAATGCTTTTCCTCGTTCGTTCTGAAAATGCGTTCTCTCTTTCTCTTTTCCCCTCTTGCTCCCGGTCTGTATTTAAGTAATAGTTATTTTGCGTTATTTGTGTTTAATTCACCTGAAATTACCGACATGCAACAACTTGCAACATTATCTGCGCGCAGATGCATTTAAACCTTTTATTTCTAGTGTTTGCTTGCTACACCTGTCAATAAACATGTTAATACACGCGTAACTGTGTACTAAAACCTTGAGAAGTTGTTAATATTTTCTATACCGTTTTAACTAACAAAAATGCGAAGGGAAAGCGGCGCTCTTTAAATGATCACGTGTGTTTAATCAATAGCAGGTTATCAAGCTGTCCATTTTATCAAAGATGGATTAGCGTCAGTTCATCTCATTTGACCCATTTAATTCCGTGCACATGTACTGTAAAGCATCTTTAATTTGTTTGTTTATTTATTTGAACTCGATCTTCCATTCCTCACCTCATGCGCTCCATAGCGCGCTGACACACACGGCTATACTTTTACAATATGTTACTATGAAATACTTAGGCTATATAATTAACAAAACTACTGAGGAGTTGGGGTTGTACTGGTTTGCGAAGTGAGCAAATTTTTCACCGTAGCCGATCATCACAAGAGGGCGGTCATCCTCGGGGTCCACATGGGAGGGGTAGGTTAACGAACAAATCGGGCTGCGTTACCTACCGGCGTACTGCGACACACCGACCAGTTTAACCCGCGGTTGCCTTAGTAACCACACATGCTTACAATTTGAAACTGTTTCGGAAGGGCATCTACAGCTGAAACTCATTTGTTAAGATTTTTTGCAGTTGATAGGTAATTATTTCAGAACCTGTTGGCACTCCAAAAATGCACACATACACATATATATGTTATATATAAAATATATCTCCATCCACGTGTATTAATATGAATGTGCAAGAGTCTTGTGCTTCTTTTCATGCTTCAGTCATTATGAAGCAGACTGAGCCTGATAAGACCTATGGTCAGCTGGTTGTTAGGTCCACCTGCCTTGCTATGATTTACATGACCGTGCAGTTTTCCATGTGTGACATCGTGTTATACAGTATCACCGATGCATCAGCAGTGTCCATGCCGATCTCAGAGAATGTCACAGCCGCAAACGGTACCGGGAACAACAGTATTTCTGTTTAAGTATTTCGAGGAAAGACTCCGCAAAGGAACGCGCACTTATGGACCTGAACCCAGACCATATGCGTGATCCGAACCCGCGAAAGACTTTGTAGAGACGCGACATCCACTCTCAGCTGTGGTAACCTAAATGGAGGCCTATATGAACTGAAAAGACAATTGCACTAAACAGGATTTAATGGCGCTTTAATATTTATTACACATTTTTGAGTGCATCGTCAGAGGCGTAACAGGTTTAAAAGAATTAGTAAGCAGTTTGACTTTTATCCCGCACTTAATAGCTCCCGAAATTAGGCAAATCAATACTTAACATTTGCGATTTTTTTCTTAACAAGAACAATATCGGTCGCGAATATAATTTTGTAAGAAATGTGAAGTCCCGTCTTCCTTTTCATTTCAGCTGACATGCTTGCGTTGCAGGCGGTGTAGCGCCGTGCTGTTCCCGGATCTGTGTCTGCCCGGCGGCAGGACACCCAGCCCCGGCCGCTGGCAGCTAGCGTACGCAGTTTTGGGGAACGCCATTTAATTAGCGCTCGGTTAATTAGGAGAGGTGGCTCACCATGCCAGTAATTACCTTACGAATGACACTGGGAAATCTGCATGAATTTGGTCGTAGTGGCCAGGGTGAGGTAGCCTTAATCTGCATTGGAGTGATGTTGTAGGGTGGAGGTCTAGTGTCCCAGTACTCTGAATCCACTAGAACAGCGGTGGCCAATCTTATCCGCAAAGGGCCGGTGTGTCTGCAGGTTTTTGGGGTAACCTTTAGGTCAGCTGTTCAAACCCAGGTGTGAGGACTCCTCAGCCAATCAATCCTCTAATTAGTAATATAATTAGGGAGCTGCAACGAAAACCTGCATACACACCGGCACTTTGCGGATAAGATTGGCCACTCCTGCACTAGAACATACCTCTACACATTGTTTCCTGTGTCCTAATTTAAGCATTACCCAGATGTGTGTGTAGCACCTGTATTTCTCTGTGGATGTAGAAGGTGCAAGACAGCTGGGACAGGATGCCAGTCCATCACAGGCTGCTTATTTAAGGGTCCAAAGCATGTAGTGCTATGGAACCTTATTGTTTTTATTATTATTATTTTATTATTATTAATACTATTATTCCCCTCTGTGCCACTTGTAACGCTGTGTCCGAGGATCCTCACAGAGTACTGATAGTCATCCACAGATGGGACATTTTCAGCATTGCCAACGATTGAAATGCACAGCTAGATTCCACCACGAGATAATAGACCCTGCATTTAATAACGTGGAGGTAAAAGAATTGGAATAATTGATGCCAGTGGGTAAGATGTGATCCACCACGGTTCTGCCGCGTTATGGGTGGCGTTTAATCTCACTATGATTTCTAGGTGATATAAGGGGTCAGCAGAACAGAGACTGCTGCCATGTCCTGGGGAACGTTGCATGCCTGATGGTCTGCCATGGTTAGTCCGGGTTCAGGTTCCTGCGAGGTTCAAACTGATCCAGGTTCCTGGGAGTTTCAGGTTCAGGCGAGGTTCAAACGGGTTCAGGTTCTTGCGAAGTTCAACAGGTTCAGGTTCCTGGGAGGTTCAGGTTCTTCAAGGTTGAAACAGGTTCAGGTTCCTAGGAGGTTCAGGTTCTTGCGAGGTTCAAACAGGTTCAGGTTTTTGCGAGGTTCAAACAGGTTCAGGTTCCTGGGAGGTTCAGGTTTTTGCGAGGTTCAAACAGGTTCAGGTTTTTGCAAGGATCAAACAGGTTCAGGTTCCTGGAAGGTTCAGGTTCTTGCGAGGTTCAAACAGGTTCAGGTTCCTGCAAGGTTCAAACAGGTCCAGGTTCCTGGGAGGTTCAGGTTTACCTTGGGAGGCCCAGGTCGTATGGGTGGATGGGCAGCATGATGGTTTCTCAGCACATGCCAGAGGGGGAATGGCAGTGTGTCTGTGGCTGTGCGTGCTGTGTGACCCCTGGGACCTTTCAGAGGATCCCCAACACCCAGGGTTGGGGACACGCTGGACAGGATGCCAGTCTGTCTCAGGTTGCCTGGTCACAGTCATACAGTCACAATACACTGATTTGAGAGCAAATCTCCTAAACTCACTCAGTCCACATGATATGTTTTCAAGGACATTTCAATGGACTTGGTGAGTTCTGGAAATTTAACGTTGGATTACATGAAGACTCGGTGAGTTTTGGTTCCCAATATTGTGACATATGATGAGGAAGCCTGAATTTGGGTCAATGGAGGTCTCATCTCAAGAACAACAGAAAATGTACTGAGTTTTGAAAATTTGCCTTTCAATTCACCCCATGTTTTAGCATCTCGGAAAGAAAAGACCAGAGCTGGAGAAAACCCACGTAGGGCAACAGTGCCGGCCGCCCAGCTGCCACCCTCCCCTGAAACCACATCATTTTATATACGCGTTCCTTTTCATCTGTTTGGTACAATTATTCATTATTTCTGAACACTCAAATACCAAAACTCCCCAGCCCCAGAATTCCCATCTGTAGCTCCGACAGTGCGATGCCTCGCTAGAGGGGATACGGAGATGAATTCCGGGGAGAGGGGACCCTGTGGCAGCCGGCTTAACCTCCGGGGTTTCGCTGGTGAGATATGAGCCGCTCTTTTTCATGTAGGGGTATTAGATGGACAGCCGGACGCAGGTCTGGGCTGCGTCTCATGATCTTATTTCCCCTCTGATTGCACGATCACACCTAAAAATAATAATGGCAGCCGGCCGCTTTCACCCCTTATAAATTTTCAAAACCTCAATCACGTCTTGGCTCTGCCGCTTACCAAGGCTGGGGGTGTGAGGGGAGATCGATATTTCCTCATAACCTGGGGAAGCTTCCTTTTGGTCATTATCTGCCTGTCTTGGCACACACACACACACACACACACACACATGTGCAGACAGCAGATACTGGGAAGCTCTCCACCATCAATGTCACTGACACGCCTCATGCCAGCACGTTTGACTGCACTTCAGAGCTCGTTCTTTTGCTATAGCTGTGCTCGCACAAGCAGAGCACTGTCACAATGGAAAGGTGTGCCGGTCGGTCGTCCTCGTCGTCCCGGCGATGACATTTCGCGTGTAGCGTGGAGCCAGAAGGGGCAGCCAGGGCTGAGCACGCA